TGGACTTCAACTCCCAGAATTCTCCAGCCAGCAGACCGGGGGTCTCCCACCTTGGCCACTTTAAGACTGTTGGACTTCAACTCCCAGAATTCTCCAGCCAGCAGACCGGGGGTCTCCCACCTTGGCCACTTTAAGACTGTTGGACTTCAACTCCCAGAATTCTCCAGCCAGTTGGCTGGAGAATTCTGGGAATTGAAGTCCACCAATCTTAAAGTTGGCCAGGTTTGGGGACCCTGATCCAGAGGGAAGGGGTACCTTGGAGGTCGAACCCGGTGATGGAGGGGTTCAAGGCGTCGACATCCATGCTGAGGTCGCCATCCAGAAGCAGCAGGTCAGGCCTGGAGGCTGCCAGCATCTTCACCCCACATCCCGGGGGGCTCTGGGCCGGCAGAGGGGAGGGCAGAGCCCCCTGCCCATTCTGGGCATCTGCAGGGAGTGGGGAGAACGTGGTGAGTGTCCAGCGTTGGGTGAGGCAGGAGGGGTGGGAGGGAAGAAGATGGGGGGGGCCCTCCCTGACTCCCCCCCCACACCTTTGCTCCCTGCTCTCCCACTTCCCCAGATGGTGGCTGGGCCGGCTCCTCTGCTCCCCACCCCTCCCTGCCCCAAAGGATGGATGGGGCCGCTCCTTCGCTCCCCATTCACTTGGAGGAAGGTTGGGGTGCTCCCCACCCCCCACCCGCTCCCTGTGCTGGGGGAGGGGGGCAGCAAGGGGATGGAGGCTCACAGAGAGGCAGTGGCTGGAGCGGCATCTGTCCGGAGTCGGAGGGACCCCCGACGCCAGCTGGACTGCAGGACAGGCGCTTCTCTGACTTGTCCCCGATCAGAATCTCCAGTTCTTCTAAAAAAAATGGAAAGGAAGCGTCAGCACCAAAGAAGACTTTTCAGGGTGGATTTCCCCCCCTTCTGCCCCCTCAAAGCCTCCTGCTCCTGTGTCTGAGACCCCTCAGAAGTCCCCTGTGGTGACATGGGATGCATCAAGAAGGCAACACAGCCAGAAAATAGGCATGAGTCCCTTTATTTGCTCCAATTTTGCCCCCCAACGTCCCGGTTACTCTCCGGCCTGGAGAAAAACTCTCCCACGAACCTGCAACAGCCTCTGGCTGCAGTCCAAACGCTGTAAGCAGAATGGCTGCAATCAAGCAGTCCAGCAGGGCAAGAGAATGAGTCCAATCATCCCAGCCAGGCAAGAGAAGCACAGAGAAGCACGGCGATAATTCACACAGACAGGAGGAAGGTCAGGAATGCAGGCTAAAACTCACAACGCTAGATGAATTCAGCGTTTGTTCCTGGCAAACGTCCCTCCCAACTGCCTCTTCTTTAAACTCCATCCCCTACTCTGCCCAGCTGGACTTTGCCCTTCCCCAGTTTCCCCCACAGCCGACGGAGCCACTCTCCCACTCCCTGTCAGCTGTTCGTCTCCCCCCTCAGATTCAGACTCCAAGGGGAGGGGGCATGACACACCTGGGGAGGGGGTGAAGCTCTGCGTGACCCTGTCTGGAATTGGGGTCATTCAGCCTCCCGCACCATCTACTTTTCTCCACTGGTCTTTGATGCTAAAAGGCTTCTGGTCACCCTAAGGGGTTTTCTTCCAAGGGTTTTAAAAAATACACAGCCCAAGGACCGACTAGATGCTCAGGGCCCCACCCAGGCTGCGTTTTGCAGGTGGGCCCTAGAACTGCCATCTATACTTCCGCAGCGCAACACCTCCAGCTCTTGAATCTTAACTGACAATTCAAACAATGTTGGCTTGCTCAAAGGTGGTTTTTACAAAATGGCAGTTTGGATTTTCTTGAGTTTTTTTTCCCCCTGAAGAGGTTTCGCTTCTCATCCAAGAAGGCTTCCTCGGTTCTGAGTGAATGGTGGAGAATGAACCGAAGAAAAACTGAGGAAGCTTCTTTTGGTGAGAAGCAAAATGACTTCAAGGTAAAAAGAAAGTCTTCAAGAAGTCCAACTGCCTTTTGGGGAGAACCAGAATCTCCATAGAGCAAGGGTCTTCAACCTTGGCCACTTTAAGACTTGTGGAGCTGGCTGATGAATTCTGGGAGTTGAAGTCCACAAGTCTTAAAGTGGCCAAAGTTGGAGTCCCTGCCATAGAGAATATTGGGTTACCTGTTGGTTGAATTCTCTTTCTGCTTTGTTGCGTTGACTAATTCCTAGGTTTAGTTACATTGCCAAATTAGCTCCCTGATTGGCTTTGCCAATTTAATTCCCTCTTTGGCTATTGTCACCCGACCTCTCCCAAATTAACTCCGGATTGACTATGCAGGAGGCATTCTCGGAAAATTGGGATTATTTTGGGGTTCCACCTGGCTGCACCCCCTGCTTCCCATTTAGCTTGGACCATTGTTATACAACTATAAATCTTGTGCCCTGGGAAGGAAAATTGGTCCAGCCATTCTGGGCAAATGAAGTCATAAAAATTAATGGGGGAAAAACCTGTTTCTTTTGCCTTCCCAACCTCATCCAAAAGGGAGACACCCCCCCCTCCTGCCAAACCAGGGCTGCTAAAGGGGGGAGCCTAAGTCCCCCCAACCCCTCCTGCCTTGACGCTCTGGGGGGGGGCTGCTTCCCAGCGCGGCCCCCCCCCCCCCCCCGGCGAGCCAGGCCCAGGGTCCCCTCCCTCCCCTCCTGGCTTGGCCATGCTTTTCCGGATGGCCACGGGGTCCTTCCGCTTCCACTTCTGCAGCTCCTCCTGCATCTTGTCCACCTTGGCTGGGTTGAGGGCCCACAGGCAGCCCTTCCGGGAGGAGCTGCCCGCCTTGTTCTCCACTTTCTCGAAGCATTTGTTCAGAGACAGGTTGTGCCGGACCGAGTTCTTCCAGCCGTCGGGAGCCGTCTAAGAGCAAGAAAGCAGAACCACACCATTCAGACAGCGGCAACTGGAGGAAAAAATGGTCCACAGCCGTTGAGTAGTGAAGGCCCCAGGCTGGGTGTCAGGTGGCTGCGAGTTCTAGTCCAGCCTTGGGTGTGAAAGCCCACTGGGTGGCTTTGGGCCAGTCACCAGGGTGAGTTCTAGTTCCAAATTAGGTACGAAATCCAGCTGGGTGACTTTGGGCTTGTTACACTCTCCTTTTCCTTGTTTTCAATTTTCGAGCAAAAGTCCAGAATTCGTTTGCAAGCAAAAACAAACCTAGATAAATTATGTTCTTTAATTAAAACAGTCAATATCACCATCAAAGCACCCGAAGGCCAGAGAAGGAACAATGGATGGAAACTGAACAAGGAGAGATTCAACCTGGAAATAGGGAGGAATTTTCTGACAGGGAGAACAATCCACCCATGGAACAGAAGTTGCCCTCGGAGGTTGTGGGAGCTTCTTCATCCCTGGAGGCTTCCAAGAAGAGGCTGGACTGCCACCTGCCAGAAATGGTGTAGGGTCTCCTGCTTGGGCAGGGGGTTGGACTAGATGACCTACAAGGTCCCTTCCAACTCTGATGATCTGTTATGTCTGCTCACTCCCTTTTACCATCCAAACTTTTGTTGTGGGGATTTGTCTTTGTGTCTCTGAGATTCTCACTCTGTCAAGGTGTAGAATAGCAAAGTTCCTATAAAAGCCAAATAAACTGGACAAAACATTGATCTCCTCAAGTGAGTTGCAACCCCCCCCCCCACGAGACCCCAGACCCAAGGTGGGGCTCACCTCTTGAAGCTTTGCTCTAATCCACGTTTTATTCTTTGCACAGCAAAAGCCAGCCCCCCCCCCATCAGGCCTCGCCCCACACAGGAAGGGGCCGAGGTGTGCAGAGCCTACTCTGGTGGCGGGGTGGTGGTGGGGTCTCTTAAAATCCCCTCAGTCGTGGGGGGGGGAAACGGGGCAGGAGAAAGGGCGATGGGGGCAGAGAAGGCAGCCGGCCAGAGAGGTCTGTGTCGTGCGATTGTCGGAGCTGAGATGCCCTTTCCCCGTGTGCTGCTGCTCCGTTTTTACACACAAGCGCTCCCAGTTCTTCCACTGTTGTGGGTCCTGCTTGGAGGGGCCCTCGGGAGGAAGAGCCACACAAGGCTTCCCCACAGCTAGAGGGGAATTCCAATGGAAGAGGATATCTCTGGGGGTGGGACTCTCTGGGGGTGGGGCTGGGTGGTTTTGTTGCGGACGTTTCGTGACCCAGCTAGGGAACATCATCAGTGCTGGAAGGGAGGGTGGTTGAGGAGGAGGAGGAGGAGGAGGAGGAGGAGGAGGAGGAAAGGGACTATGGAGGCCTTGATGCTCTCTGAGCTGGGTGGTTTTGTTGCAGACGTTTCGTGACCCAGCTAGGGAACATCATCAGTGCTGGAAGGGGGGCATTCAGAGAGGAGGAGGAGGAGAGGGGAGAAGAGGAAGGGGGGGAGGAGGGGGACTGTGGAGTCCTTGGTGCTTCTTTCTTGCAGGCTTTTCATTACTCAATATTGCGCAGATGTTCCCAGTTGGGTCGTGAGATGTTTGCAAGAAAGCTACCAAACTCGGAGACCACCAAGGACCCCCCCACGGCCTTCCTCCCCCTCCCCCTCCCCCCTCCTGTTCTTGACTCCCTTCCAGGAGGCTCCCAAAAACAACAGGTGCACCTCACCTTCTGCTACTCCCAAAGATACACCTGCCCGCATCGTTTGGGACACGGAAATCCTTGCCCAGGTAGAACCAACGATGCTGAGGCTGTCATTGTTGCTGACACAGATTGTCCCTGTGGGGTTTTTTTTCTTATCTCACCATAACAAGGAATAAAGCAGAATTGCAGAATTCTGAGATGGAAAGTCATCAGATGGCAAGATAGAAAGTTGCAGGACAGGACCTGCTAGTGAGTCAGAGGACAAGGGAGCCTTAAAAGCCACAGAGGCCGAAACCCCGGCTCTGAAAAACCCAACTAGCGGCCACTCATGGGCAGACACGGTGACAGCGTACGAAAAGGTGGGTCCTATCTGAGGGGGGGGAGGGGGCTGGACTAGATGACCTCTAGGATCTGCTCCACCTCTACGATTCTGTGAAAAAGTGGAGGATTCCCAGGGAGATCAAGAAGAGAGCAAAGGCCACAACAGACAGCAAGTTGTGTTGAGAAAGGTGCTCCACAAGAGGAGCTGCGCCAGAACCAACAGACCGACGACACAGCAACAAAAGCCCCCCAGAACATCCTCAGGGGTCCCCAAACTTGGCCACTTTCAGACTGGTAGACTCAGCAGAGCTGGCTGAGGAATTCTGGGAGTTGAAGTCCACAAGCCTTAAAGGGGCCAAGTTTGGAGGCCTCTGTCCTACCTAAACCAAAAGGAACTTCCAGGAGGGAAAAAATAGGAGGCCTCTACAACATACGGCGTAAAACATTGGAGGTTGGACAGGCCTTTGAGTCTCCCGCTTGAGCAAAGGGTTGGACTAGAGGACCTCCAAGGCCCCTTCCCACTCTCTTGTTAGTCTGTTATAAACCACGCTCCTGCGCACCAACGACGAGTCTGAAGACACGATAAGAATTCCTTCATTTCACAACACACGGACAGATTTCACCACAGTTTCAACTGGGAAATAGCGACCGCCTCGGGTCGAGCCGAGTCGGCGGGAGAATTCCTGGAAGCCTGGACCTCAGACAAAACCAGCCATCCACAGGCACAGATAGATAAACAGCATTTACACGCGTTCCGAGGAAACAGAGAGGAAACCGAAAGGACCAGAACACCTCCTCACCTGCGATCGGCTCCCAGATAAACAGAGATGAAAACCGAGATTTGCCTGAGGTAGACCAACCCTCCAGAAGTAAACAAAAGTCCCAAACAAGGAACTGCCGATTCAGACAAACAGGTTAACCATAAACAACAGCCTCCTCAAGGAACCACCGACAATACGCCCACCAGTGGGGCAAATCGCTTGCAGGTAAACAGAGAGCAAACCCCCTTCTGCTCCTAGCACTGGTGATGTTCCCTAGTTGGGTCCTGAAACGTCTGCAAGAAAATCACCAGGCTCAGAGAGCACCAAGGACCCCACAGTCCCTCTCCGCCTCCTTCTCCTCCTCCTCCTCCCTCCCTCCTTCCCTTCTGCAAACCCCACTCCCTTCTAGCCCTGATAATGCTACCTCGTTAGGCCATTCAACGCCTGGAAACAAACCACCCAGCTCCCCTCATTTCAACCCTGAGCTACGAATCGTCTCTCCCGTCAGGGCTGGAGAAGTGGACGGGGGTCTCTCGGCCTCGTGGCCCTGAGGGTTGGGGGCCAGGCTCCCTGGGGCAGCGGCAGGCCTTCCAGACCCAGCCAGGGTGGGGATGCCGGTGCCCAGGTCCTGACGCAGCTCCGGGGCCTCCTGTCAGCCTCCAAGATCTTTTCTATTGCTTTGCATCTTTCGGCTGCCATGAGTAACGGGGGGGAGGGGTTGTGTCTGGGAAGAGAGCTGGAGGTGTTACATTCTTGTGTTGAAAAAATGAGGAGTGGGGGGGAGTATAAATTCCTGCTCTTAAGTTTCTATTTCCTTGCTTAGCTTTCTTTCTTTTGCGCAACTGCGAATCTTTATCAAACTATGTCAAGGTCAATGGACAGAGGCCTCATCACCACCTGAAGATGCCCACATGATCATATTCAGAACTTTTGATTGGAAGAATCTTTTGAACTTTGGGGGGGTGGGAACAATTCCATCCCTTTGCATATGTGATCTGTGCGCCTAATTCCTTAGATTCAGAATTCAACCTGTAGCTTCCACTTCAAATTTCAGTAAAAGATATCTTTCCTCTAATCTATGGAGTCTAAGTATTTCTTTCTTGGATTTTGAATGGAGCACAGACCGACACCTCCTTTCACCTTTTTTCCAAAAGAGACTGGACTGCCTATTGGTCAGAAATGGTGTCGGGTCTTCCGCTTGGACTAGATGACCTCCAAGGTCCCTTCCAACTCTGATGATCTGTGATCACCCAGGACCCACTTTCCAGGGGCGATGCTGGGGCCTCCCCTGGGGACAGGGAGCTGCCCTGCTTCTCCCGCTGCCTCTTGACGGTTGGACAGGTAAGGAAACCGATTTTCCAAGCTCTTTGCCTGCCGCCTGCCAACAGCTCCAGAAAGATGGGATCAAGCGCCTTCTGCCTCCAGGGCCCAAACAGGAGGCGGTGAGTGAGTGTGTGTGTGTGTTTTCCTTTTCTTGCTGGGAAAGGTGTGCTAATTATACCTTTCCTGCACAACAATGGCCGCGCCCTCTGAAAGTGCGCTTTCTTCCCGCTGCATGGGAGTCGCAAAGGCCCTGCCTTCCCTCCCCTCCGGCCAGCTGGCGAGGAAGCACCACCCCACAGGCCGCGAGTGAGTCACCCGACAGACAACCTGGTCTGCAAGCCAAAAAAAAAAAAAGGAGAGAGGAGATGCTAGGAAGAGGAAGCAGGCAGGAGCCCGGCCCCCGCCGGCCCCAGGACCCTGGTCATCCGGATGGACGGACTCAGGAGGACAAGCAGGAAGAGGTCTGGCTTGCAACTTTGGCTCTGCTGGCTGGGGGATTCTGGGAGTGGAAGTCCACCAGTCTTCAAGTCCCAAAGGTGGACCCTCCTGGCACAGGATCTCCTGCTTAAGCAGTGGGTTGGACTAGTTGACCTCCAAGGTCCCTATGCTCTGCTGGCTAGAGAGGTCTGGGAGTTGAATTCCTCCAGTCTTAAAGTGGGCAGGTTTGGAGACTTAAATGGGAGATGGACTGTTGGTAAAAAAATAAAATAAAAAATTTACAAAAGAAAAAAAGTGAATTGCTGCAAGTCGTTAAGTGAAACAGGGGTCATGTGACCCGGGGAGACTTTGGCCCCACTGAGGAGTTTTCCCCAAATTTGGGATTGGCTTTTTTAAATTATACTATACGTTAATCATAATTGTCTCATAATTCCACTGTATTGTAGTATATTGGGTTATTGTGTTGTGTTTGT